CAGTCTCCTCTTGGGTCTGTGTTCTGAGTGATGCACTTACCCCAAAATCTCTTTGCCTGAAAAAGCTTACTTGCATAATCTGAAACACACTTTCTTTTTTCTTTCTTTCTTTTCTTTTTTCTTTTCTTTTTTTTTTTTTTTTGAGAGTGAAATGGAGGATCTCTGCCCAGGGACAGCAAACCAGCAGGCTGCTCAGGTTAGCTGTGCCGTGCTGACACTCACTTAGACAGCCGGTGACAGGGCTGGGCCCCAGCTCAGCCTCCAGCCTGGGGACCTCCGAGCTCCTTCACAGCCCGCCCGCCCCTCTGGGAAAGCAGCAAGGTGTGGGAGGCCCGGACCTCCCCCCAGTTCTTCCCAGTGTCCCCTTCCTCATCCAGTCTCCGGAGAACAGCCTGCGGATTCTTTCCTCTCCTAGTGACGGAAACAGCTGCCCCAAGGCTGAATTCAGGCCTGAACCCTCCCGGGGCGCAAGAGGGCGGAGAACCCTCGCCCAGGCCCCCAAGGCCGGCTGCGGCGCAGCTCCGGGACTGCCCTGCAAGGCTCTCGGCCCCGGGACACCAGGCGGGACAGCACGGCTCTGCGCGTCCTGCGCCTCCGCGGGGCGCTCGCCTTCCGGCTCGGGTCCGGCCCGACCCCACGCACAGCCGGAGGGTCCCCGGCTCGGGTCCGGCCCGACCCCACGCACAGCCGGAGGGTCCCCGGCTCGGGTCCCGCCCGACCCCACGCACAGCCGGAGGGTCCCCGGCTGCGAGCGGGCGCGGAGCGGCTGCCGCTGCGCGGGCTCCCCGCCCACCTTCCCGAGCGCCGCCCGCAGCGCGTTCTGATTGCTAAATACTCACAGCCGCGGAAGCGGCGAGTTTGGGAGAAGAAAGAGACGGGCGCCGGGACCTTGGTCGGAGCCGGGCAGCGCCGCCGAGGAAGCCGCAAGCTCGGGGCGGGGCGAGGAGTGCCCGCGCGGCCGGACGGTGCAGCAGCAGACGGCGGGCGGTGCAGCGGGCGGCGCCCTGGGCCTGGCGGGCTGCGCACGGCTTCCCCGCGGCCGGCCGCCGCTCGGAGAGGCCGTCACCCTGCCACCCCTCGCGAACTCCCGCAGTGCCGGGCGCAGCCGCCGCAGCGTTTTCCGGGAGACGCGACGCCCGCGGTTTCCTCCGTCCCCTCAAGCTACAGCAACTTATTCTTCCCGAAGCCGGAGGCCCCGCTGGGTTTGGGGCTGCGGTGTGCTGGGCGAATGGGTGGAAGAGGGAGTGACAACCGATGTGCTTCTCGAGGCAGTGCCTCAGCCTCGGAGGAGGGACAGCGGACTTGTTCCCTTGGACCGAGTGCGGGTCCTCCGCTCCCTACGAGGGGGCTAGCACTGAGAAAGGACTCCTCATTGCTGACTCTACCACGGATTTTGGGGTTCCCAGGGCGGGATGGCCATAGGGTTGCCCACAGGGCAGTCTGTCGCGAGCTGAGGCCTTGCCTGGCTTTGGTGTACAGTCCTCCGGCCACGTGGACATGCAGGCTCTGGGGGAGGGGATCAGCTGGGGGCAGGGGTCTGCAGCCCCGGATCTGGACTCAGGCGACCCTCATGGACACTTGGCACATATCCACTTCCCAACACCCTGTAACCCACCCTAATCTTGGGGAGACCGTGGTTAAGGCAAGGCAAGAGGAACTGCAGGCCAGGAATGTTAGCCCCTAAGAGATGACTGAGTAGCAAGGCTGAGGCAAGAGGATCGATGGGAGTCCAAGGTCAGCCTGGGCAACATCTTGAGTTCAAGGCCAACCTAAACTGCATAGCATGACCCAGTCTCAAAAAAAAAAAAACTCTAGGATGACCACGAAGGGAGAAGGAGGTTGGAATATAGGGAAGGACACAGGGTCTTGCCGTAGAAGCCACAAGATCCAACAAACTGTGAGGGAGTCTGTGGAAGGACAACAGGGACATAGAGCAACAAGGGAAAAAATATGTAGGATTTCAGAGATCCTGGAGAAGGTATAAGGCAGACAGGAAGACCCTAACGTGAGACTGAAAGGTTGTGCACCTCTGGCAACGAGAAAGAACAAAGCGAGAGTACGGTCTCTGCCGTTGTGAGTCTAGCTATGGACAAGACTTAATTGAGCAGGCCCTCAACCCTCAAGAAAAATGGCCACTGCAGGAGCCCGTCCAAAGCCGAGACACAGAAAGACAGAAACTCCACCCTGATACGGGCAATTTGCCCTTTTCAAAAATGGTCGCCACAGCGTCACTGGGAGCCTCTCTAGGCCCCGCCTTTGATATCGTTGGTGGGGCTTCGAGATGAAAGCTTTACCGCGCGGGACTCCGAATAGCTGGCTGCGTCCAACGGAGCAGGTGATTCCCCTTCCAGTCCTCAGCCCAGGGCTGGGAGTGTCGCGGAGAGCATTGATCCAGGGTATCCGTCCTGTGTGTCTCCTACAGTACCCACCCGGAACCGTAACTCTGATTCCCGCCGTGACCTGCACCAAGGCACATCTCTGCTCAGGCCTGTCGCCGTGGGTTCCGTAGCTGCATCCCTGTGCCCGCGGGCGGAGGTCAAAGCGGTGTGTGCGCTTCCAGTCCTACGTCCTGCGCGCCACCTCCCGCACTGATGCTCCGGCTAGACTTTGGGTGGCGCGGTCCCTTGCTCCTCGTGTTCCTTTTGGTGCCGTTTGCGTCCTAAGGCCGGTGGTGAGGGTCGGGGGAGAGTGGAGTTTTACGAGGCTGCCGGGGTGTGGAAGCAGGGAGAAGCAGTGAAGATCTTGGAATCACCCCCTGAGCATCTCCTCACCCAGAGGAGCTGCGGGTGGCATCTCGCCTCGGTCTAACTCGCCCAGGGGGTCTCTCAAGCTCTCACTTGTCTTGGGGCAGTGAGCATAGGGTGGGCTGGCTGCAGAGAGAGTCTTGCAGAATGGGCTTGGAGAGAGGTTGTGAGCATGGATGCCCACAAAGAGGACGTAACACAGACCTGGCCACTGTATTGGCATCGTGAGACCGTGTAGTGGTGAAGTGCGGTCAGACTGCCTGCTGTGGTTAGCTATTAAGGTACTCTGTGATCTTGGGCAAATTAACCCCCAAATTTCCTTTCAGATAAAATAACGTTAGAGGATAACGTTAGTATCCATATTTTAGGGTTATTGTGAGGTGTAGGGAGGGTAAAATGCTTTGAAACCTGTTTGGGAAACAATCAGCAATGATAGGGTGATAGTCACAGTTCCTAGGCACCACGAGTGGTGTCTGATTTGGGGTTTCCCAGGAGGAGCGGGTTCCGTGGGCTGTATCTGCAACTTGAAAATTCCTGGAAATTGTGTCCTGTTCCGTAGGAGCCTTGCTGCTCAGGCTGCATCTTGGGAAACAGGGTGGTAGTCCAGACCTTCCCCAAGTTGGGGGATGCGGGGGGGGGGGCAGGATATTAGGTGGAGCGCTAATATTAGGAGGAGCAGGACATGCTGGAGAATGCTGGGAGGGGTGTGGAGGTGGGGAAAGGTAGAGCAAGAGCTGGTAGGCTTTGAAGATGGGGAAACCCAAGAGCAAGAGGAAAGAGGGTGGTCGCTTTGCCGAGAAGTCAGCAGAAGAGTTCAGTATAGCCTCTTTGGGGACAGCATGCAGTTTTCCAGAGATAATTCTCCAGCCCCCAGACCTTGGTTCAAAACAAACAAACTGGGGCTGGGGAGATGGCTCAGGAGAATAACCGCTTGTCTGGCAAGCTCAAGGGCCTGAGTTCAATCCCTGGTTCTACAAAAAAAAAAAAACAAAAAAAAACAAAAAACCCTCAGAAACATTGAGGCAGGTCTGGTGGCACATTTTTATAATCCCAGTTACTCACAAGGCTAAGGCAGGAGCACTACCAGTTCAAAGACACACTGGTCAGTTTATGGACACCCTGTATCAAAATTAAAAAAGGGCTGGGGATGTAGCTCAGTGGCAGAGTATGCTTGGTTTGATCCCTAGAACAGAACAAACAAACAACAAAACAAGGAAGCAGACAAGCAAAACCACAGACTTTAGATATAACGCTGGAGAGGCTTCTCTGACAGTGGGCTTTGCTGCAGAGTTCCCAGCCCTCTGACAGCACCCTGGGTGTGAGGGTCTCTGCAGGGCTGCCTCGGAGGGACCTGCATGGCGAGGTCTGGCACACTGACTGAGCGGGTCAGTTCTTCCTCAGGCCTATGACTAAGGTTGTGAAACAGGAGGCAGGCATCTTGGTGGTGGGCTGGGCTTCTTTAGTCCTGCTTTCCAAAGTGACCCCTGCCAGGTGCCATGGGATCACAGCAAGTTCGAGCCAGCCTGGACTATATAGCAAGTCAGTCAGTCTGTCTGTCTGTCTCTCTCTCTCTCTCTCTCTCCCCGCCCCCCTTAGTTTTACGTATTTGGTACAGGGTCTCACCGTGCAGCTTGGACTCAATCCTCCTGTTTCAGCCTCCCTAGTGCTGAGATTACAGGTTTGGGCCCCCACACCCGGTTTCAGTGGCTGGTGTGGGGTCTGCACGGCACGCTGGGCTGGCATGGCATGCGGTACCGGGTGTCGAACCTGGGACCTTGCTCTTGCCTAGGTAGGCACTTAGACCAGTGAGCTATCTCCGTGGCCCACAAGACCCTATTTCACTAAACAAAACAAAACAAACCACAAAGTGACTCCTTTGATCTAGCAGTTCTGTGTTACCACTCAGGCCTGGGCAGCTGGGATCCCAGCCCTGGCCCGCTCCACTTGGAGGCCTTGATATCCTCACCTGGAGGACACTAAACGAGGTGACCTGAACTTATTACCCCACCCCACCGGTGCTGGAACCCAGCACTTCTTGCATGCCAGCTAGGTGTTTTGCCACTGAGCTGTCCACCCAGCCCTGGCCATAGCTTTTGACTACTACGGTTAGTGCTGGTGACTCCAACTTCACCTTCATCTGTGAGGTGGGAAGTACTTGCTGATTGAATGCCCACTTCTGGGGGTGCTGAATGTGCATTGTTGATAAACCACGTGTGTGGTCCCTGCTTTCATGAGACAACTGGAAGAAACATTAAACATTGTCCCAAGAATTCATCATCTTTTTTTTTCCCCCGGAACCAGGGATTGAACTCAGACCCTTGCACTTGCCAGGGAAGCGCTTATTCTACTGAGACATCTCCCCAGCCCCCAAGAATTCATTAATGGTAGTTGTGAAAGAGCCTGTGAAGTAAGGAAAAGAACAGTCTGCAGTGGTGTGTGTGTGTGTCCACGCACACACACGTGCGTAAGTAGAAAAGATGGCAGTCTTTCTACTTATCTACCAGACAAAATCTAGGCACAGTGGAAAGCAGCCAGGGACAGTGATCCAGGGAGCATGTGGCTTATGCTGAGGATAGAGCCAGTACTTAGGAGGCTGAGGCAGGAGGATCCCTGCAAGTTCAAGACCAGCCTGGGCTGCAAAGTGAGCTGTACAGCGAGATCCAGCAGGGGAAAAAAAAAAAAAAGGTCTGGGCTTGTCCAAAGGGTAGTAGGAACTGGACATGGTGGCCACATGTGTAATTCCAGATATGATCGGGCGCATTCAGGGTGGCATGGCTGTAGGCCATAATAGGGGACATGATGCATGTATAATTCCAGCACTCTGGAAAGCTGAAGCAAGTTTGAGCCCAGTCTTGGCCACTGAGTGAGACCTTGTCTCAAAAACTGAAAAAGGGGGCCGGGGAGATGGCTCAGTAGGATAAACGCTTGACTGACAAACGCAAGGATCTGAGTTCAACCCCCGGTTCCGCCAAAAAAAAAAAAAAAAAAAAAACTGAAAAAGGGCAGGGAAGCTAGCTCAGTGAGAAGGCCCTGGGCTCCATTCCTAGTACTGCCAAGAAAGATTCTTCAAGGGAGAAAAGGTGTAACCCTCTATAAAGACTACACAGCTCTGGTGTGGAGGGCAGGTTACTGGAGGAAAGGTGGGAGTGGGAAGAAGGGTTTGGAAGTTCTTGCAGGCAAAAACAGAGCAGAGTTAATAGGAAAGTAAACATGCTGAGAAAAGAGGGTGGTTGAGGCCTGATGGGTGCTTGGCTAATGGAAAGCAAGGGATGGGGTGGGGTCAAGGATAGTTCCCAGACCTTAGGCAGGAACAGCTGCATGCCCATGCGCTCATTTAGGAAAGATGGCCCTCAGTGGCCTGGTCTTGCCCGCCTGGAGTGCTGGCACTCAGAAGGCTGCGGTATCTCAAAGCAAAAACAGAACCCCTCCCCCCCAAATGGTGGGGGTATTGCCCTGGAGAAGTAAAATATGGGTACAAGATTGGATGCTGAGGAGTTGGTGACTTGCGTAGTGCACTGGATGTGGGCCCAGCTGAGAACATTTTTATCTTGTGCTTTTGAGACAGGGTCTCATTATGTAGTTCAGGCAGGCCTTGAACTCGCTGCATAGATCAGATTGGCCCTGAACTTGCAGTGATCCTCCTGCTCAGCCTCCTGAGTACTAGAGTTACAGGTGTGCACAAAATGCCTGCCTTCCATCTGAGACCTTGCAGATCACAGCGAGGAACAAAAGCGGTAGCCTTGAGGCTGAAGAGGGCAGCAAGGACGGTGACAAAGAGCCAGGGAAGAAACAGCCAGAGAGACAGAGGAAACCTGGAGAATGTTCTGGAAATATTGGGAATTGTTAGGTGTGACCACAAAAAAGTTTTCTCTCTTTCGGCTGCTCAGAAGGCTCAACCTTATGAGACCAAAACCTGAAAAAGGTCTAGTGACTTGTCCCTGAGAGATGTTAGCATAGAAGTTGGACCAGAAGGAAGACAACAGGGAAAAAAGGGTAGAATTGAGAATAATAAGGGAGCAGGTGACCCGTTTTGGTTGGGCCCAGGTTGGAGTGAGAGCAGGTACAGGCAAGGGGGAGCTGCAAGTTTCAGGTAGGGGTGCTGAGGGGAGCTGGGCTCAGATGCTTTGGGGTGTGTGACACTGGGGTTCCTCTGCATCTTCTACATGGTAAGATAGCTGCTGGTTGCCATGGGTCTGGAGCCATCCTGATCACCTCTGCATGCCTGACTCCCAGGTGCAGACTTTTGGCAGTCAGAAATGTGTAGATGGGGATGAAACGGGTTAGCAAACAAGTGGGTGTTGTGGCGCATGCCTGTAGTCCCACTTGGAGAATTTCTTAGAGTTCTAGGCTACCCTGCAGGGGGTGGTGGGACAGAAAGAGACAGAGAGAGACAGAGACAGAGAGATACAAGCAGTTACTGAGTGCCTGTTAAGGACATACATGTTCAGGATGGCAGGCATGCAGTCAGGAAGGGGACTGAGGACTGGGGAGCAAGGCAGGGGGTGGGAGGGGATGGAGCGCTAGCAGGCGAGCGAGCAAGGCCCAGCCTGTGGGCCCTGTAGGCTGGAATTAGTACAAAGTCCTCCTGGAGGCCCCTGGCTGCTGAGGGGCAAGGACTAGGCAGGAGGGGAGACTCCATGAAAGACTCCCCTTCTCTCTGGGCCCCAGAGCCAGAAAAGCCCCTTTGTGCAGAGGGTGGGTGGCTTGTGCTGGTGGGAGAGGGGCTGTGCATAGTCACCTGTTCTTTGGGGTGCTGGACAATGGGGCTCCTTGTGATCGGGCTTGAGGGTCAAGTGGTGCCCTCCATGAGGAGATTCCTCAGCCAGGAGGCCTATGACCCACTACCTTGGCTTCTCACCCTAGGGATGGGATAAATGTAGGGAGGGGGAGGCCATCTGCAGACACTGTGCTGCCCTGTCTTGGGCTGGGGTGGTGGAGACGCAGTGGCTCTGCTGGGAGGGCCGACAACAGATGTCACACAGCTGGTGGGGAGGAGGAGCAACTGCTCCAGGCCTGGTGAGTGGGACAGGCAGAGAAGACGGCAATTCTCCATCTTGTGTCCCTCCAGGCGAGGAGCAAGCATGGAGCCAGAGAGGATTGTTGGCACAGCCCTCCTTACCTTTGTGCAGGCACATCTCCCAGAGGCTGATGTCAGGTAAGAGGCCAAGCCAGGGCAGGGGCACTGCTGCCAGCAGAACTCTGGCCCCAGGCTGACAGGAAGATAGGTAGAAGGCAGGTGGCCTTGGTCCTGCTGTGGGGAGGGTTGTGATCTCAGGTTAGGTGTAGGTGCCTAGCCAGGGCTTGTCCTGTGTTGCAGTGGCCTGGATGAAGTCATCTTCTCCTATGTACTTGGGGTCCTGGAGGACCTGGGCCCCTCCGGCCCATCTGAGGAGAACTTCGATATGGAGGCCTTCACTGAGATGATGGAGGCCTATGTGCCTGGCTTTGCTCACATCCCCAGGTAAGCCCTGGCTGGGGCCAAAAGGAGCCTCTTGGTGTGGGGGTGGATGGAGGGACCCCCTACCACCTTCCTTGTCCTTTCAGGGGCACAGTAGGGGACATGATGCAGAAGCTCTCGGGGCAGCTGAGTGATGCTAGGAACAAAGGTGAGTCTGGGGCGCTGGCACTCGCGAGATTCATAACCCCCTCCCAGAGTTTCAGCAAAACTGATGCCCTCTCTAACTCTTTAAGAAAACCTGCAGCCACAAAGCTCTTGTGTCCAAGGTCAGGTACCCATCTCCCCAGATCCCCTGCAGCCTCCTGAAAAGCTCAAAGAAGAGACCTGTTCTTCTGTAGCAGCCAGGGACACCCAAGACAAGGTTGTGGTAAAGGTACTGATGGGCAACCTTGGGGGCCAGAAATGAGGAAGTGTGACCTTGTCAACTTGTCGACCTTTGTGTTCACAGGCAGCTGCCCCTGAGGAGTTGCTGCCAGGTGTAGATGTGCTTCTGGAGGTGTTCCCCTCCTGCTCGGTGGAGCAGGCCCAGTGGGCGCTGGCCAAAGCTCGGGGGGACTTAGAAGAGGCAGTGCAGATGCTGGTCGAGGGGAAGGAGGAGGGCCCGTCAGCCTGGGATGGCCCCAGTCAGGTATCCACTCTGGCACCCCAACGTGCATTGCACCTCCATGTTAAGCACCCACCCCTTCCTGTCCCCCTCTGTTGCCCCTCTGGGTGCCACCAGACCTAGACTAAGCTTCCCTTCCACAGGATCTGCCCCGGTGCCTTAGAGGTCCCCAAAAGGATGAGTTGAAGTCTTTCATCCTGCAAAAGTGAGTCTGGAGGGCCGGGGAGATAGCTCAGTAGGATAAACGCTTGACTGGCAAATGCAAGGATCTGAGTTCAATCCCCGGTTTAAAAAAAAAAAAAGTGAGTCTGGGCTGGGCTGGCTGGGCCCGAAGGCTTCCCGGGCAGCAGAAGCTTCATCCCGCGGGTTTGGCAGGTACATGATGGTGGACAGTGCAGAGGACCGGAAGACTCACCGGCCTGTGGCTCCCAAGGAGGTAAGAAGGTTGGGCAGCTGGGGATGTGCAATGAGGAAGGAATGGCTCTTGCTTCTAGCTGCTGGCTCCTCCATTCCCCAACAGGCCCCCAAGAAGCTCATCCGATATATTGACAACCAGGTAGTCAGCACCAAAGGGGAACGATTCAAAGATGTGCGGAACCCTGAGGCTGAGGAGATGAAGGCCACGTACATCAACCTCAAACCAGCAAGAAAGTACCGCTTCCACTGAAGCACTCAGGACTCTGCCTGAGCCAGCTGGGCTTAGGCCCCCAGGGTGCAGGAGACCTAGTGAGCCCCAGGGCTCCCTTTCTGTCTCCTTCCTTCTCCATCTGGTTCTCTACTTCCTTGCTCCAGCGTGTTAACTCACTCTTGGAGCTGTTCCTCAGGCATAGTAAAGGTGGCCAAGGAAGGTGTGTGTGCATTCTGCATTTTGGTCATTTCTGCCTCAGGGATGGGATTCTATTCTGTCCCACCTTCCCAACCCAGCTTTCCATCCCATCTCTCAACAGGGTAGAACCAGGCAAAAGAGGGCAAAAAGGTCTTTATTTGAGGTTCCAGGGTGGGGCAGGGCTCTGCCTTGAAACAGAGGCCCCTACAGTCCAATTTTTCCGCAGTTCAGTGCTGGGTCCCACTACACAGTTTATCTGGCTCCCCTGGCAGGATGTTGGTCAGACCTGCAGGTTGACAAAGGGGGCAAAGCCCGCCATGTCCTGCAGGAGCACCAGGGCCTGGTGCAGCGGTGGCTCCACATCAATGTCCACTCCTCGTTTCCGCAAGCGGCTCAAGCTAGGCTCGGCCACGTGATGGCAGTGCCGGACCCGCAGGGAACGCAGTGCGGGACAATACTCTGCCAGGGTCCTGTGGGAGGAGGGGTGAGGTTTGGAGCCTGGGGCTACCACTCCCTCGGCGGGACCCCTACCCACCACCTCCGTGGCACATCCCAGGTCTCTGCAGCTTAGGACACATTCTTTTCCTCTAGTCGGGGAAGAGGGACTGGATGGGAACGGTCCAGGAATCTGGGGCTTTCCCGGTCTGTAAAAGGGAACCAGCTCCTCAGTTGGACCGAGTATGGAGAACTCCCTGTTAAACAGAAGCTAGACCCAGCGTGTGCACACTGGTGCAGTTTTTGAGTGTAGGCTTTCTGACCCGCATAATCCTAGCAACCTGTCTGTGCAGAGGGGGTGCCCTTTGCTGACTGCAGTCCGCCCCCCCAGACCCTCCCCCCCCCCCGGCCCTGGCACCTGATCCCATCGCTTCCGACGCGGAGGCAGCCAGTGAGGTCCAGGTGCTCGAGGCGAGGGCAGTTCCGGGCCAGCTCCTGGACCGAAGTGTCGCCCACGTTGGCGTTGACCGCCAGCGAGAGGCTGCGGAGGCCGGCGCCGCGCCGCCGCGCCAGGTACACGATAGCCTCGTCCTTGAGCTGGCGGCAGGCGGTGAGGTCCAGCTCCTCCAGCGCCGGGCAGCGGTCTGCGAGGCCGCGCAGCGCCAGTCCGTCCACCCAGTCGCAGTGCGCGAGCGACAGGCGCCGCAGGCGGGGGCAGCCCTCGGCCAGCGCGCCCAGCGCACGGCGGC